TTTTAAACTCCATTTCTTTTTTTTTTTTTTTTTTTTCAAAATCTGAATTTTATATATATTTTTTTCCATTAAGTTTATTGGTACATGTTAGGTCTACAGTGCAGTTACATTCATCATTGGGATCTTGTACCTTTACATGATGTATCTTGGTTCTTAATTTTTCCCCATTCCCCTGCTCTGCATTCAACCCCTCCACCCTTCCCTATTTACAGACTTTGTTTCCATGTTTTTCCTTTTCTCATATTTGTTTCTTTTCCCTTCTTTCCTTTCCCCTACTCCTTCCACTTCCCCTACTCCTTTAGAAGTTTTCTTCCTATTACACAATATCAGTTATACATTTTAATTCTTATTTACACTTTTAGTTTTTCACACCAAAGAAACTATTCAGTATGTACACGTGTGTCCTATTTATTTCACTTAAAAGTATGGCCTCAATGTGCATCCACTTAGCTATAAATGTCTCTAGTTTCTCCTTCTTTATGGCTGAATAGTACTCCACTTTATAAAAAAACACATCTTTATCCAGTCTCCAGTTGATGGGCAATTGGGCTGTTTCCAATTTTTAGCTATTAAAAACTGTGCCACTATAAACATGGGTGTGCTTATATCACTGTGGTATGATTCTTTTAATTCTTGTGGGAAGATACCCAGAAACAACTCCAGACACACTCAGCTACTTCATTTTTGACAAAGGAGCCAACCATCCTCACTAGAGGAAAGATAGCCTCTTTAATAAATGGTGTTGGAAATGCTGGATTTCAATTTGCCAAAGATTAAAACTAGACCCCTATCTTTCACCACGTACTAAACTAAAATCAAAGTGGATTAAAGATCTAAATATTAAAACAAAAACACTAAACTTGCTGGAAGATAAATTAGGTAGAACTCTCAAAGACATTGGCAAAGGAAAAAACTCCATGAACAAATCCTCAGTAGCACAGGAACTAGCACAAAGAATCAACAACTGGGATCTCATCTCATTAAAAAGCTTCTGCCCTGCAAGGGAAACCACCAACAGAGCTAACAGACAGCCTA